AAGCAATGCTATCCTCAGTATGCCCTGGAGTTTTGGAAGAAAGAACATCGTCAGGTAAAGGCAGAGAGAGAGGCACGAGAAGAAGGAGAATCATCCCAGAAGCGCCCCATGGATGATGCAGAAGCCAAAGATGGGAAGAGGCGCCAAGAGATTGCCAAGGATGAAGAAAGGAAGAAGCGCAAGCAAAGCTTTGAGGAGCACTACGAGCGCTTCAGGCACAAGGGCAAAGATGAAGTGAAGCCCGAGGTGAAGAAGATCCCCAAGAGGCCAGGGGAGAAAGAGAAGGTCGAGGAGAAAGAGAAAGAAGAAAAGAAAGAAGAAGAAGAGGCACCCAGAGCACCCATCGAGCTGAAGTCCAAACCCCCATCGAGAGCGCCTGAGGACAGCCGGGCTGATTCAGCCCAGGCGTCCAAGGGCAGGGGAAAGTTCAGCATGGGCACCAAGAGATTCCTGGAGAAGACGGTGCGTGATGCAGCTAACTACATGGAAAGAAAAGCCAGGAAGAAGAGGGAGAAAACGCCATCTCCCAAGCCCAGGAAGCATTCACCAAGAGGAGGAGTTCGATCTGATTCCAACCTCGACTTCCTGGGAAGTTTGGCATCTCAGGTGGATACCATTGTCTGGGCCACCGTTGACTCAGGGGCAGCAACCAGTTGCCTACCCAAGGAATTGGCACAGTCATTGGAGTTGGCTATGACACCTGTGGATGAGAAGCCGTTCACCAACGCATCAGGGCAGCCAGTCCAGGTGCATGGGGTGTGCAACCCTATAGTGACCATGGGTGAGAAAGGAGGCCCACAAGTCAAAGGTGTGGGACAGTTCCGGGCAATGGATGTTGCAAAGCCATTGTTGTCTGTGTCCAAGCTGGTTGAGAAAGGCTGGACAGTAACCTTCGGCCCCAATGGATCGTTTCTGCAAAGGGGAGCCAAGAAGGTTCCAGTCACCATGACTGGAGGTGTTTTCAAGATAGCCATGGATTTTCATGGGCAGCCCACAGAAGGGTTGAAGGCGTAAGTCCTGTGGAGACCACAGAGAGCGCAGGTAGTGGAGATGATGAACCGGGCAGTAGTAAGCTAGGTTCTCAAGCGCTACCAACTGCAGCAGCGCCGACGCAGAGAGAAAAAGAAGAGCATTTTGTCAGCCATTATCCTTTTAGGAGTTGGTGTGAACATTGCATTCGAGGTAAGGCAAAGGCAATGAGACATGTCAAAGTAGATCATTCAGATGAAACAGTTCCTGTGATCTCAGCTGACTATTGTTTCATGAATTCAGTGGATGACACTGTCATCACAGAAGAAGTGCAGAAAAAGCATGCACCAGTTTTGATAGTACATGATCGATGGTCCAAGTTGACCTACGCACACGTTTTGCCATACAAGGGAGTTACCCAAGGTCCTATTGGATCTAAGTGTCTTTTGAATGACCTTAAGAAGTTTGGGTACCCCAAGATGGTCATGAGGTATGACCCAGAGCCTGCACTCAACTCCGTAGTTGAGGCAGCCAAGAATGGTTTTGACAAACAGTTGGTTTTGGAAAAAGTTCCCAAAGGAGTCTCAGAATCCAAAGGGGAAATTGAAAGAGCAGTTCAAGCTATTGAATCTCAATCCAGGACACTCAGAAGTGCCTTGGAGACAAGCTATGGAAGAAAGGTGCCAGACGACCACCCAGTTTTGACATGGTTGGTTGAACATGCTAGCACCACTTACAATTTGTTTCACAGATCATTGGAAGTCAAAGATGGGAAGACACCGTACTCTAGACACCGTGGTCGTGAGTGGAGAGTGTCATTACCACCATTTGGGGAAACAATTGAATTCCTCAAAAGAGGTCACAAGTTTGAACAAAGATGGCACCAAGGAGTTTTCTTGGGAGTCAAAGACAATACCACTGAGAAGATAGTGGGAAATGCATCAGGTGTTTTCACTGTGCAAAGCATTCGACGCAAGAGTGCTGACGACAGATATGATGCCGAAACTTTGATGTCAGTCACTGGGGTTCCATGGGATCCTCAAGCATCAAAAAGAGATGATGTTTTGCTTCCTCAGATTGTTGGGGGAGATCAGCAGCCACTGGCGCCATCAGTGCCAGTTGAGCCACCAAAGAAGTCGACAAGACGACTTTACATCACCAAACGTGATTTGGACAAGTATGGCTACACCGCTGGTTGTGTCGCCTGTGATGCCACTAGAATTGGCAAAAGAGGCACTGGAGTTCATCACACTCCAGCCTGCAGAGAAAGGATGGAACGTCTGCTTCAAGCAGAAGAGGGCAACCTGAGAGTAGCCCAACATACGGCCAAGGTTGATTCTGAAATCACTGGTCAGAAACAAGAAGTGTCCGAAGAAGGCACAAAGATTCTTTATGGGTATTCAAGTGAGAAACCACAAGAAGTTCCTCACGGTTTTAAGGTGTTTGCGCGCCTTGACAAGAATGCAAGGTATCTCAAGGGTACTATGCCAGAAGGTCCCAGTTGGGATAATGTCTGGTGGAGAGTCACCAGAGATTTCAAAACAGGAAACATTATCAAGTCTGAACCAATGGATCCTAGTTTAGGAGATGAAGTCATCAACGCGCCTTTGATTGATGACGCAGATATCGTCACTGAACTGTGGTACTCAGCCACAGGGGAATCTGCTCCAAGTTTGCCAACAGCTGGACCTGCTATCGCGAGGCAGAGTCCTGCTACCGGACAAGCTGCAGATCCACCTGCAGAAAGCGCAAGCGCAAGCACAGCCTCAGCCAAGAGGGCAGGAGGCGAGCAAGAAGAAAGAGCACACAAAAGGTTGGAAATGTCTCCAACCAAAGGTCGGAAAAGACCTGCAGACTCAGGAGGCGAAACGTCAAAGTCCAAGGACAGCCGAGCTGCTTCAGCTCAGGCGTCTAAGGGCACCAAACGGCCACCTGAGAATGAGAGACCAGAAGACATGGATGACATAGACCAATGTCTTATGAACCTGATCATGGAAGATCGGGAGAAGTACCTTCAGTCCATTGAAGGTGAAGAAGAGCCAGTATGTGAAGAGACGATTCATCTTCCACCAGAACTGGAAGATGAAGCAGCCACATGGTATTATTACGATGATATCAGTGGAAAGATTTTAGACAGCAAAGGTGTAGAACAAGCCAGAAAAGATGAGGTCGAAATCATCGAAAGTTTTCCAGTTTGGGAAAAGATTCCCAGACACAAGATGCCCAAAGGGGTACGCACCATTGGAACACGATGGGTAGATGTCAACAAGCAGGATGAAGAGAATCCACTTTATAGAAGTAGGTTAGTAGCTCAAGAAGTCAAGAAGGGCTCAGGTTTTGATGAGTTCTTCGCAGCTATGCCCAGTTTGTCGGCTTTGAAGATGCTAGTTACAATAGCCGTCACGTTTCAGTTGCCAGACGCTGGAAAAGCTGTCAAGGAAGCCTATCGCAAGCGTAGACTTCTAGGATTTTTGGATGTGAAACGCGCCCACTTTTACTCAGATGCGACGCGTGAGATCTATGTGGAACTTCCTGCAGAAGCAAAGAAGCCTGGAGAAGATGTGGTAGGAAGATTGCTCAAGTCTTTGTATGGAACCAGAGACGCACCTCTCAACTGGGAGTTGCAAATACAGAAGGTTATGTTAGCCTTAGGTTTCAAGCAAGGAAAAAGCAATCCATGCATTTACTACCATGCAGGCCGAGACCTCAGAACTGTTGTACATGGAGATGATTTTACAACAGCCGGAACATTTGACAACATCAAATGGCTTCATGAAGAGCTGTCGAAGAAGTGGAAATGTGTGGAACGTGGTATTTTAGGACCACCAGGAACACCAAACACCATCCAGGACATCAGAGTCCTGAACAGAATTATCACATGGAAGGAGAATGGAATTTGGTGGGAACCAGATGCACGTCATGCAGAGTTGGTGATTGATTTACTCGGAGATGGTCCCCGAGGAGCCAAAGTCAAGACACCACTTGCCAAGGGTTCAGTGGAAGACCTCAAGAACGCCACTGCTTTTCTCAATGATGAAGAAGCAACCCAGTACAGATCAGTTGCAATGCGAGCAGCTTATTTGGCACAAGATCGACCAGATCTGCAAGTAGCGACAAGATCTTTAGCACAAGGGCTACAACGACCAACTACCAGCCACATGCTTATGCTCAAACGAGTTGCACGATACCTAAGGTATCGACCACGCATGGCACAATTCTTTCCTCATCAGAGCAAACTCAGTCCATTTGTGATGTGGTCTGATGCTGACCACGCTGGTTGCGTGAAGACGAGGAAGAGCGTGTCAGGAGGCGTCCTGATGGCCGGAGGTTGTTGTATCAAGACTTACTCTAAAGGACAAGGAGTAGTCAGTCTTTCGTCTGGAGAGAGTGAGTATTACGCTCTTGTGAGCGGTGCCAGCAATTTGCTGGGAGAAGTTTCAACCGCCAAAGACTGGGGTTTGCAACCCGAGAGTGAAGTTTTCATGGACGCAAGTGCAGGAATAGCAATGGGTTCTCGCAGAGGACTAGGCAAGGCCAAGCACGTGGATACTCAATACCATTGGGTACAAGACCGCGTTGCCAAGCGCTATTTTCGGCTGAAGAAGGTCGACACTGGCGATATGCTTGCCGACGTCTTGACGAAACCTGTCATAGAAGAGAAAATGAATAAAGCCTTGCGAAATATGAATTTTCACTTTCTGGAAGGTGAGCATCACCTGACACTGAGAGCATAGATGGCTTGAGCGTGGCTATGAGTAGCTGTACATATCAAAACTCGCCTAGTTCAAATAATTGGACGGGAGCGCCGTTTTTAAACAGGCTCGGGAGGCGTGATCAGATACGTGTACAGTGTAGACTATGTCACATGTAGCATATATGTTTGTATATGTGCTGCAGCCATTTTAGTGCTTTCAGCTACCTTCGAGCTGACTGAGTGAAAAGGTGCTGATCAGTGCTCAGGAGTGTTCATCAGATTTAAGAGCCCAAATTCTCTGTTCATCTGTGCATGTATGGTGGATTTACAGATCCAGGAGACCTTTGCCGCCTTGGCCAACCTGCCATCCAGGGCAGGCACCAACATGCAGGCGCAGATCAAGGCAGGTCGGGGATGGATTTGCCATGGGAAAATCCATGGTTTCTTGTATGGTTAATGATCAACAATGGTTAATAGTGGTTAATACTTGTGATTCATCATAATTGATGATTCATAATTATCATAATGGTTGATACTTGTGATTAATGGTCAATGATGATTGATGGGATTTACACTCTGGTAATCAAACATTGCTTGCTGGGAAAGGCCTGAATTAGATGGATGTTTATAGCTCGGAAATTTATCGAACTATATGGTGGATGACAATTTGTTCATGACAACTAGTAAACGATTAATAATAGATAAGTGCTACTAATTGATGGATGATTCACGTTGGGGGAAAACGTACCGGAACAATCCGGGAGATATCAATGACCACTTCATATTAATTGGGATGGTGATTCATAGGTATTGGTAGATGATTGGTATCGCCCAAAATAGTGCCAATCAATATTTGTTGGTGTATGGGTCAACATTGAAGGCCGCACCACAGATGGACTAGCCATTTCAAGTGGAGAACCTTCCAGATAAAAGGGTCCCGAATAAAAGGGTCTCACAACCAAAGCATGGGGGGAAACATATTTTCTCAAAGATGGGATTGGATGGGGTTTTTCAAATTTTTAGTAGAAGCCAAGAGTGGATGATTCGATCGATTTTTTGATACCTGTTGGTAACTGTTGCTATGGCGACTACATAACTGGGGTGCCAATGAAGCCACTAAAAAGGGTGCTGGTCACTAGTTTCACTAGTTTCACTAGTTTCACTAGTTTCACTAGTTTCACTAGTTTCACTAGTTTCACTAGTTACCAAGTCATATCAGTTTGACCCCTTGTGGATCACTCTGGCCACAGGAAGCTGCAGAAAAGGAGATGCAAAAACTCGGAAAGGAGATCTCGATTGACTACAAGGTGCTGACGCTGTGGGAACTATGAAGTGGCAGAACTCACAGCCTGGCCAAAAAGGAGATCTGAGTAGATCATACCTGGTGCGGTTTCAATATATATATATATGTAAAATCTCTGTGTCTATATATATATATATCTATAGCATATATATATATATTTATATACGTATACATAGATTTTGATGCTCACCCATATTTGGTAGGATGATTCCCAATGACCCATCTGTTTCAGATGGCTTGCTCCACCGATGCCACAGGTGACCCAGCCGTCGGGGGATGTGAAAACTGGTATCCTGCAGGCCTGTAAGGCGTGAAAGGGGTGGAAAAGTACTGCTGGATCTGCACAGCAGCATTCTGGACTGGATGAGTCATGATGAATCTCTATGTTATTGGCTTAAACAATTGGCTTTTCATTGCGAAACAATTGGGGGTTTGAACATATAGTGCGGTATACAAGGGTATAGTGGAATAGTGGGATGTAGAATATAATTAGACATTTGGTTTTTCACTTTTGGAGCAGTTTGGGATTTACGCTTAACGATGACGAATATCTGGCACTGGGTTTCTCCAAACATGGGAGTTGTTCCTAGCAGCAAAAACGTGGACAAACAATTACACACTCCAAAGGGAAAGGGGACGCTACTTGTGATTTAAGGAAATGAAACATGTCCACCCTCGGAATTTTGCATTCATTGAACCTTTGAAAACGGGAAGGGGGACGTTACTTGATTTCACAAGGGAGTGACGTGTGCTGTTCACAGCACTTACGGGGATTGGGAGATGACTTTTTTAAGCGCTGGATTCGCTGGATATTTGTGGTTTCCATCTGTTTCCATGTGAATTTTAGGCGTGCGGGATGGTTTATCAACAAGGAGTTGAAAGCTCGGAGAGTCAATACACACACTGGCGAACTTGGGCGATCAAGTTTGATATGAATCGTGCGTGATCTGATTGACAGACCGTTATTCACCAGGAGTGAAGATGGCATGTTCAAGTGCAACTTGACCTCTACTATACTTCTACGCACAAACAATCTAGTCTTTGCCCACTGTTCCTGGAAATATCTGTCAAGACTGAATACCTGGTCTGCTCTCCCGGTTTCTCCTAAACTAGGCTACATTATTTTCCCACATTGTTCCTTTTTTTAAAACGGTCATTTGAGGGCACCATTCTTGGACAAAGCCGCGCCAATGGTTCAGGAAGGAAGGAAGGAAGAGCGAGGGAGGGAGAGAGGGAGGGAGAAAATCCTAGATGACGCAACTCCGAAATGCTGCAAATACCATGCGCATGAAAAATCCAAACTCCAACATGTTGCAAATACCATGCGCATGAAAAATCCAAACTCCAACATGTTGCAAATACCATGTGCATGAAAAATCCAAACTCCAACATGTTGCAAATACCATGCGCATGAAAAATCCAAGCTCCAACATGTTGCAAATACCATGTGCATGAAAAATCCAAACTCCAACATGTTGCAAATACCATGCGCATGAAAAATTCAAACTCCAACATGTTGCAAATACCATGCGCATGAAAAATCCAAACTCCAACATATTGCAAATACCATGTGCATGAAAAATCCAAACTCCAACATGTTGCAAATACCATGCGCATGAAAAATCCAAACTCCAACATGTTGCAAATACCATGCGCATGAAAAATCCAAACTCCAACATGTTGCAAATACCATGTGCATGAAAAATCCAAACTCCAACATGTTGCAAATACCATGCGCATGAAAAATCCAAACTCCAACATGTTGCAAATACCATGTGCATGAAAAATCCAAACTCCAACATGTTGCAAATACCATGCGCATGAAAAATCCAAACTCCAACTTGTTGCAAATACCATGTGCATGAAAAATCCAAACTCCAACATGTTGCAAATACCATGTGCATGAACAATCCAAAGTCCAACATGTTGCAAATACCATGCGCATGAAAAATCCAAACTCCAACATGTTGCAAATACCATGCGCATGAAAAATCCAAACTCCAACATGTTGCAAATACCATGTGCATGAAAAATCCAAACTCCAACATGTTGCAAATACCATGCGCATGAAAAATCCAAACTCCAACATGTTGCAAATACCATGCGCATGAAAAATCCAAACTCCAACATGTTGCAAATACCATGCGCATGAAAAATCCAAACTCCAACATGTTGCAAATACCATGTGCATGAAAAATCCAAACTCCAACATGTTGCAAATACCATGCGCATGAAAAATCCAAACTCCAACATGTTGCAAATACCATGTGCATGAAAAATCCAAACTCCAACATGTTGCAAATACCATGCGCATGAAAAATCCAAACTCCAACATGTTGCAAATACCATGTGCATGAAAAATCCAAACTCCAACATGTTGCAAATACCATGCGCATGAAAAATCCAAACTCCAACATGTTGCAAATACCATGCGCATGAAAAATCCAAACTCCAACATGTTGCAAATACCATGCGCATGAAAAATCCAAACTCCAACATGTTGCAAATACCATGTGCATGAAAAATCCAAACTCCAACATGTTGCAAATACCATGCGCATGAAAAATCCAAACTCCAACATGTTGCAAATACCATGCGCATGAAAAATCCAAACTCCAACATGTTGCAAATACCATGTGCATGAAAAATCCAAACTCCAACATGTTGCAAATACCATGTGTATGAACAATCCAAAGTCCAACATGTTGCAAATACCATGTGCATGACAAATCCAAACTCCAACATGTTGCAAATACCATGTGCAGGAAACATCCAAACTCCAACATGTTGCAAATACCATGTGCATGAAAAATCCAAACTCCAACATGTTGAAAATACATGTGCATGAAAAATACAAACTCCAACACGTTGCAACTACCATGTGCATGAGAAATCCAAACTCGAACATGTTGTAAATACCATGTGCATGAAACATCCAAACTCCAACATGTTGCAAATACCATGTGCATGAAACATCCAAAGTCCAACATGTTGCAAACACCGTGTGCATGAAAAACCCAAACTCCAACATGTTGCAAATACCATGTGCATGAAACATCCAAACTCCAACATGTTGTAAATACCATGTGCATGAAAAACCCAAACTCCAACATGTTGCAAATGCCATGTGCATGAAACATCCAAAGTCCAACATGTTGCAAACACCGTTTGCATGAAGAATCCAAACTCCAACATGTTGCAAATACCATGCGCGTGAGAGATCCAAACTCCAAAATGTTGCAAATAGGATGGGAATGAGAGATCCAAACTCCAAAATGTTGCAAGTTCCAAGACAGCCACCTCGGGCAGAAACCGGGAAAAAACTTCCCCAACATTTCCCCGGACAAAAATCGAATTTCCAAGAAATTCCCTTTTAAAAGTTTTCTATCATTCTGAAGCACAGGCAGAGGGAGCCTCAATGCTGCTGATCGGCCCTGGAGTGGGCGGGAATGGTGGTGGCCCCAGCGATCTCCATGGGGGGTTTCTAGGGGAGATCCCAACCATTGGACCATCATTTTAGGAAACCTCCATATTTGGTGGCCAAAAGTTGGATTTATTCCCCACATCAATCGGTCAGTGTGGAAGGTCGTGCCAAAATCCAAAGTGCTGGTTGGTGATTTCAAACAGTTGTTTTGGATGATACTCCTCAATGACTTTCCATATCTTTCAGGGAAGTGGCTCAACCACCAACCAGACTACGACTCCAAACCTACTCAACCAGATTCAGAGTTGACATTTCAGAAAGTCTCGTGCTCAGGAAGCATCCCACCCTTCTGCGTGTCGCACGCCAAGGGTATCACCGTGTGTATTGTGCGTGGGGTGCTTATCACGGTTGGTGATTCTCATGATTCTTGGGGTGGTCAGCATTCTTGGTCAAATCATTTGGGTGTCTGAAAATGAGGCGTATACCTTTCCAACACATTGCATTTCAATAGGGAAAATTATGATTGACCACTGGAATTTGTGTGTTTTTGTCATAATTTCCAGACGTGAAATCTCCACCTTTGGTGATAAGATTCCCTGGTAGCCATGGCAGGTTCGCTGGGTGTTCGTGGGCCACCCTTTCTTCGGATGATTTAAGATGACTATCATCTGGCAATGTTTACAGTGTGCGATGGACAATCACCATGCTATTAATAGGTAAATCATCTATTTCAGCGGGCCATTTTCCATAAGTATGTTTCTGGTTGGTGGTTTGGAACATGAATTTTATTTTCCATAACCAATGGGATAATCCTTCCCATTGACTAATATTAATTACTGGAGGTCTTTTTCAGAGGTGTTCAACCCACAGTTACAGCTTCCTTTTTCGTGTGTGTTTTAAGCGTCTCTGGCCCTCTGAAATCAGGTGATCATTTGGAGTGAGGCAGTTATTGTCGAAAACTGCTCGTTACAAAACTGGCATCTCAGAATCCCCCCCAAAAAAACAGAGTGGAAGTCATGCCCAAAGCTGGTGACATCATTTGGTCATGTGTTTTTTTAATGTTTTGTGTGGTTCCCAGTTTTCAATTCCGGGCCACCACTGCGCACCAGACATCGACGCGCTGGGCCAATGGTGCTCCAAAGCTTGGAAAAGTGCCGGGGAAATGAAGGAGGGAGAGACGCCACAGTGTTTTTCTATGGAAAAAACACTTAATTAAAGAAACAAGAAACACATCAATAAGTGCTTATAATTACAGTATAGTTATAATTATAGTTATAATTATAGTTATAATTATAGTTATAATTATAGTTATAATTATAGTTATAATTATAGTTATAATTATAGTTACAATTATAGTTATATAAAGTTATATATATATATACATACACATTATATATATATAATATACACGATCTCATCATACTTGATCAATGAAGGATGACTGAAAATGCATCCTGAAGTTGATGTGAGACAGACACAATCATACTACCATCATCACCTGTTATCTATCATTATTGGTGGCATAGCGGCATGACGCAAATCATTTTCGCCCGTTTAACACTCCCGAAAAAACTGGTGACGGATCTGGATGCCCATGGGGAGATGTACCATAGCTCGGCTCAAACGACTTGTTCATTGGGACGGTATAGTACTATCTCAAATTTACAGTCGTGTGGTTTCCGACAACGAAGGTTGCAGTGCTTCTGACCCGCTCTTGTGCAGCCTCTCCAAGTTATTTGAAAATCTCCCTAACTTGTGCGAGCATCAAGAATCATTATATATACATATATAGTATATCGGTAAAAGTGTGCTGCTTTCCAAGTCCCATAATTTAATTCGGCAAATCTCAGTGACACGACCTCGCACAGCAAGGCTGTGTTGAAACATCTTGAAACATGGAGAAAAAGTCACCTGGCTGAACAGGACACTTTCGGGCTCAAAAAGGTTGGACAAAGCCACCGCCGTTCACCTTGCCGGAGAGCGCGGGATTTTTTTCGGGATCCATGAGCTCCGGTGAGGTGAGATGGGGATCATTGGATTTAGAAAAAGGGCTACCGACTGAAACAACCCCCTGTCAGAATGTTTGGATTGCTTCGATTGTAAGTGTTTTTTTTTGTTTTTTTTTTTTCTGACACATGGGAAAGTCACACCCTCCATTCATGACAAATGTGTTTTTTTCTGAGGTTAACACCATGGTAAACCGAGGTGACCTAGCCAGCTTCGGCTTCGGAAATGGAGACTCGTGAGGATGTTTTTTTGTTTTTTTGGGCCGTAGGGGAAAAAATGACTCGTTAGTTCCCAGTTCAATCCGGGGGTTATCTAATCCATATATAGTACTTGCATATAGTCTTATGTAGTCTATGTAATTATATATATATATATATGTATATTTATATATATCTACACATAAATAGAGATGAAGTATACACAATTGTACACATTATATGAAGTGGATTGTAAGATGTTGCAAGTGGCTATAGATACAACGGAGATAAGGAGCGATGGTTGATATCCTTAATGGGATTCAAAGAGCCCTGTCGCCCCAAAATCGTGGCGTACCCGGCATAACCTCTGGGCCCATCCCAAGTACTCTATACGTCTGGGAGGCCAGTGAGGAGTTGAAAAAGGTGGATGAGTACCTTCAAAAGCTGAATCCTCAGTGATTTTCGAAGTCCAATGGCTTTCGAAAGACACCAATTGATGGTGATTTCTCAGTCCTCCGGTGACGTGGTGATAATTCTAAGCCACAACGATCTGATCATCTGGCGATGGATTACGTGTTTGATGAATGACCATTACCATCTGATTATGACTAACAGTTCGCCATGGTATAGATGGCCCATAGAAATAGATGGTTTACCTATTAATAGCATGGTTATTTTCCATGGCGAACTGTTAACTCACCAGATGGTAAATACGAGTCGAGTCTTCTCTGGTTATCCTTTTACATCAACCACCAGGCGAGTAACTTTCGTCATGGTCTCCCAAGGCATCGGATTCTGGAACTCTTTAGCGTGCTGTGGCGGCAGTTGCTGGAGATGTTGCCATGAGTTTGAGGGTGGCTTTTGCCAAGAAAACATTGGGAAAACATTGGAAAACCAAAACCTGACTTTAAATGTTTTTAACTTTAAGATGTTTTGAGCAAGACATATTTTATGACCATTCGTAGCAACAATAATGGAACGGGGATGTGAAGGGGATACAACTACCTTAAATGATTCCTTGCTTCAACTATGTGATCGTTTTACCTATTTGGGATGAAGACCCCTAGCAGCCAAGCTGAAGCCACCAGGATCTCTTTTCTTGGATACTATGATACTATTCTATTCTATAGATTGGGAGGAATCGTTCAATCCTCGCCAAGCGTTTTTCTGGGACATTTAAGTGATGCACACAGGTGCTTCAGTCCTTGAAAGGACAGACACCAAGTAGAAAGCGGAAATTGCTCACACGGTGGCCGCGTGACTGGCTCTTTGATACATGGCGCAGCGAATCCAGCAGTGGCACCATGGCCGTACTGTAGCTGTTGGCCAAGGATCTTTGTGCATCCGTGTGCTTCCACAAGCCAAGCGATGTCCGCGGCTTCCTATTGCAGGTGGGCAGTGGGTAGAGATGTAGCCTCTGTAAAACTACGACGTTTCATGGCACCTGCAGAAGTGTGATAGTGGATACCAAGCAGCCACGGCATCGCAAATCAGCCCGTAGTCATACTAGTAAGCTGGGCTCTTCCTTTTGATGCCACGGCAGGAACTTCAGCTGAGGGAACGCGAGGGAGCACAAGCAGGGAACTTTGAGGAGACTGAGTCATCCGTCCAAAGAGGTCAGCTGAGTAGCTGGTACTAAAGGGCCATCCACGTGAAAAATCTTGAAAAACATATTGTATATATTGATTGATAAGAAAGTGCTAACTCACTGCTCGCTTTTCTATTTGTTTTGGGGTTGCGGTTGCTATATCAAATATACATATTCGAAATAGTTGGTGGTGGAAACACCGCAGACCATTATCGTCATTTAAAGAACATCAGTCGCCTGTTACCTTCTAGTCCTCAAACATTTTATGGATGATTTTCCAGCCATCTTCCTTTCAGTAGCGTCCCAGGAATGGATTTTGGTAACACAGTAAAACATAGTAAAACCATAGTTTGGTTTAGGTTTTCCCTGAACCTTTACGTATTATCACTCTATATATGTATAATACACATCTCTATCACAGAGATATTGGATATAATATATATATATATGTATGTATATATATATATGTATATATATGTATATATATATATGTATATATATGTATATATATATATATGTATATATATATATGTATATATATATGTATATATATATATATATGTATATATAAACTGTATACACTATGTGTATAAATGGAGGTTTCCTAAAATAGAGGTATCCCTAAAATCATCATTTTTAATTTAAATCATTTTATTTACGGACTTTCCCGTACCATCCAGCTGGAATCGGTGGACCAGGACGCAGAGATCAAGGCCGTCTTCAACTTGGCAGATCTCATGCAGATGGGAGTCATCAGTGAGTCACAGGCGTCCGGCCCAAAATCATCCAGACTTGGTCATTGTGAATGGGAAAACCACTATGGATTTAGGGCACCAAACCCACAACTTTCGGCTCAGCCGTTTGAATGTGAGATGGTTCAGCAAGTTGTGAAGTTCGGACGAATCCCCAATCTTGAAGCATATATAATATAGATCCTTGCACTCACATGTTCTTTGGGTCCCATGGGGTCTTGAAGACATAGCCAAGGCTGCTTGGAAGTTTATCATAGTTTATCCACAACATGCAGGCGCGCAAAGCTCTACTGGCCTTGGCCAACTCCCAGAAGCAGAAGGAGGATGTGGAGGCATGCCATCCATGTCGAAGGAGGGGGGGTAAAAGCGGGTAAAACATCCGGGCCAGAAATCAGTTGCACATCTTCAAGTGCAGGTTGCCATTGAAATTAAGAGTTATAATCCCTACGAGAAGCTGGGATGTTAAGAAGTTCCGCATGTGTTCTTTGATATTTTAGGCTTAGAGTTCACTTCTTCCACGAAGCGCAAGATACTGAAGTTGCCAAGTGGAGGTTGAGAGAGATGGGTTTTCTAGTTGGCACAAGGGGACGGTTTTTGAGGGCACCGCCTGAGGTGGGTAAGGTACAAGCTCCACTGATTGAATTGGAAATCCTTAACAATCGAAGTTCAATCAACATCTAAAGACATTCAAACATATTTTAGGCCATGTCAGCCAAAGAATCTTGGTAGATCTTGGACATTTTTCCCGAATGCGTAGTTCGGTTCTCGTTTTACTTTGGGGGTTTGGGGGTTGGGACGTGTTCGCTCCATGCCGCTTTCACGTTCGCAATACACACGACACTTCACACTCCACAATCCCCCACTTCATACCCTACACACTACATTCCGCCTTCAACACTCCATTGTCTTCACACTCCACACGCTGCACTCCACCCCATTCCACACTCCACAGTCTACACTGGTACGGTAAGATGGGAAGAATCTACAAGACTGTTCAAATAATTTGTTTCACAACAGTGTTTTATGTGACTGTATTCGGGTTCGTTGGTTGCACTTGTTCTATTTTTTTCGTAATAAATCAATCTAAATCGTCCCATGTTTGCGTGACCAAGGCAATTGAGCTGCCACCAGAGGTTGCCCGGGGCGCTCAGCCATTGATGTGGATGTTTGGAGCCAAGATTCCTTTAAAACCCTTGGACTTTTGACCAGGAACATGAATCGAATTGATATCCTGTGATCACCATGTATGGCACCGCAATTATCCGCAATTTCTACCATAGATACTGGTAATTGATGGTAATTGATGATATTGCTCGCTAGATAACCATTAGATAACCTTGAATCCACACAGAAGAGTCTTGTGGGGAGACAGGTTCCGCGCGGATTTCGGGGTCATAGGGGATGATGGGCCGGTGTATATACCTCAATTTATGGCAATTTCAATGTAAGGAAATCATGATTATCCATCCAATTTGTTTTTTCCCCTCAATTTTCAGACAAACCCTGACCACCAGCTGGCCCTGGTGTTTCAGAGGGGGAGATGGTTATCGATGCTTCATGTTCCCTTAAATTTTGATGAAGCGTGGAAGCTCCGCATGTTGAGGATGAAGCCATCTTCCTTCAAAAAGCCAAAGATGCGCTCCAGTTCCGCCAGTTCCGCTGAGCCCAGCTGGATGTTTCACCCAGTTGGAAGTTGCTGGAAGTTGCTGCCGAATGAGAAGGTGGAGTGTTGGATATTGGATATATTGGTCAGCGGGATACCAGTCTGTAAGCTATGGCAGCTATGGATTCGGTTTTTTGGCTGACACATTTCTTTAAGACTAGAATAGATTAGATGGAATCGCATGGTTCTTTGATCTGCTTTGTACCTTGATATTTCATGCCAAGAAGCAACATGACAGGGGAATGATGCCCAGTCAATCCGCGCAGCAAGATGTTTCACTTGTCTCCCCATGCAAGCAGTTTCTCACAGTTCGCTGGCTGAAAAGACAAAAAGACGCCCACTGACCACTAAAAATGACCAGTGAGCAGTACAAAGTCGACATCTCAACATAAATCCATGAAGGGCCATATCCACTAGATTCCAGTAGTGAAATCATCATAAATCATCTTTGGGACCCAATCCTATGCTTCCATGTTATAGTGAATTTAGGACATTTGGGGGTGTAGATGGTGCATGTTCCTAACCATCTTGCCATGGGCTCAAGAGACGGCGCTGGTGGAACAGAAATTGGGGCCCTTCCGAGGTGTCGAGTCATCAGAATTTGCTGAGGTTCCCCAAGTTTTGATTACCCTCCAGTAAATAAACATAGACCTTGGCAGATAGGGGTTGGAAGATTAGTTTCCACTAAAAACTGGTGATTTTCAGGGTCTATGTTAATTTACCAGATGGTAATCATTTTACTCATGATTAATCATGACTGATTGGTGGTTTAAGGAACATGTTTTTTTTTTTTAATTCCATTAATATTGGGAATGGAATAATCACCCCAACTGACGAAACCATATTTTTCAGAGGGGTAGGTCAACCACCAACCAGATGATTTTCATGATGATGAATGGTCCAGGATAACTTTACGGCTGAAAGCTCCATGTTTCATGAAGCCCACCATGGGCCCATGAAATCAATCCCAGTGATTTTTTGGTCAAGCCCACAGACACCACACGTAAAAAAAAATGGGAGGGAAGCACAGCGGCTGAGTTCTTTTTTTATGTTTTTCCGACGTTTTCCGAAAGACCTTCCATTGAGGAAACCGACAATGTCATTTTGGACTTGATATGACCCAGATCATCCTTGGTGCGGTTTCTATTTTCAGTGCACTTCCGAAAAAAGAACATGCAGCCATATCTCGCAGGCAGCTCCCAGATAGTTTTCAGTTTTCGAGGATGTTGTAGATCACATGAAACACTATGAAACTCAGAATTTCACATCATGTCCATATCATTTTTCCAGGTTGGATCAACATTTCTAGAGTTTTTCTGATCAAATTTGGGGTACAAAGGATGGCCTTTACTCCATCCACTCCAATGGCCTTTTCCGCAGGTGACGGAACCCGATGGCGCAAGTGGCAGAGAACAGGCCTCAAAGGCGCCCTTCAGGGCGGGACTGGGGGTTTAAGCATCAACATCATGGCTTTAAGCATGAAAACATGTGGATTTAACGTGATTTAACCCAAAATGATGGATAGAATCATCATGGATATATAATCTGGATAGATTTGATCACGACCTCATGTAAAGCGGCGTTACTGGAATGATGGTTAGGATTCGGGTAATCATCCCCAAATGGCCTGATTCAGTTGCTGAGATGACTGGGGATGAATATCCAACCTGAAAAACTGGGAGGCTTTTGACCCATACGATACCAATATCGGGATTGTTCTAAACATAGGATGCTCAGGCCATTATTTTTCATAATCGTTCACGCATATATATATATATATATATACATATGCATATATCATATAACATGATGCAAGCTAAGTAGCCTAATCAATCATCATGGCATCAATATCAATGAACAACCCGGTGATTTGAAGATCGGTAAGATCGGTGATCTCGATGCCAGGCACATCGACAACCCGGTGGTCTTCTTCGATATTTCCATTGGAGGTGGTTAAATTAGCAGATCAGGACTGGTGAGGATCGCATCTTGCCATATCTTGCCCCAAAAAAAGGAACATAATCCAACGCCAACATGACTGGTTGATACTTATTTCTTGCATATTAGCCTCTGGTAAACGTTTTCAGAACGAACTGGAAAATCACCATTTTTAATGGGTAAATCAACTATAAATGATAGCTATGTTTGTTTACCAGAGGGTAGCTCTGGCTGAATAATCCTATCATCCCTATTTTTTGTCATGTTATGATCTGTTATATCTACTGCCAGGTCACCCAGTCGGCCGCATTAAGATGGAACTCTTTCGAGACGTGGTGAGGGGGCTCAGCTGCATATCGCTGGGACATGAAAAGAAACGGCAGGGGACCATCGAAAGGGGATTTATATGGATTTATCCATCATTTATAGGTCATTGATACGAAATTTAATATGGTTTAAAGTTTAACCCTTGAAAACATGAGGATATGAGTTTTTTCAAGAATCTTGGTTGATTCGGTTGATGATTACAGAGGTTCTACCCAACTTTTTTTGGATGATGAACATGAACTGGGAACCCCAAAAGAACAAACCATGATGGATGATACCAATAAAGGGACATCGCAATGCGGTGCAGTCATTGCGATCTATCGGGGTCAACCATGCTGTCAGAAGTAGTTTTCTGAATTGGAAGTATTATGTAAGAATATATACGCATAATGTACATGATATGTATACTGTATACTGGATTTGCAGTAAACTCATTTTTTTTCTGCTTGTAGCAGTTTTTGTTTGAATTTATGCTCATTCCTACTTTTTGTGCTCACTTGAGCTAAAAAACGCGCGCGTTCGTGTCCGTCCTCAGACTTTTTTTCGCTTCAAAATGCAGAAAGTGGAAGAATGCTGAGAGTGGTGCAATTGCGGTTATATGGAGAAAATACCCTCCAAAAGCATAAACATTTTGAATATCTCAAATAAGCACTTATTTGAGTGTTTTTTGTAAAGAAGGTGCAGCTGTACACATACATAGACACACACACACATAATCACATACTGCATATACATGTATATATATATATACTTGTACATATAAATATAGATATACTATTCATATATATATAATTATATATATACCGTATATATACACATCATGTACATACCTGCCAGGTGCCGAAGACGGCGGAGAACTTCAGGCAGCTGTGCACCGGAGAGTTCAAGTTGAACAAGGCCATGTAAAGCGGCGCTAAAAAAGGCTCCTGTAAAGAATGGCGGGATTGGAGTACGAGACTATTGATATATCCGAATATCCAATGATATATGATGATATATGATTATTTTATATACTGATATACTATGCAGTAAAATTATGGATACTGTAGATATATATATATATATATTTATATTATATATATGATATACTATGGAGTAAAATTGGATATATCATTATCCAATGATGTGTTCATATACCAGATATTATGAATATTCTGTAAATTATCATCTCTGGTATGTTAAAGAAATCATGGGATTGGACTCATTGGACCTATGATGCCGACTAAAAACAACACACAAGACTGGGACATCTTCCTGGGACTGGGACATCTCAGGGACTGAAGCGACTGAGTACCCTCTGGTAATTTGTTACATGGCTATTGAAAATGGCCATTTATAATGGATTTTCCCATTAAAAATGGTGATTTTCCATAGCTATGTTAGTTTACCAGAGGGTAACAGGCGTTTGTCTGAAATTGGGATGCCCCAGCGACACCATGGGTTTTTCCGGAGTCCCCAGAGACACCACCGAGGTTCCCATTGGCTACAAGAACTGCACCTTCCACAGGATCATTAAGGTGGCCATGGCTTTTTTACCAGCCAAAAATGGGGGGGGATTTCAATGGTTTCACCTCTGAACATGCACCAGGTATGGTGATTATTGGTGATTCATGGATTGGTTTAGGGCCTAATCGCCGTGGGATTGGAAATTTCAAGGGACCAGTTGGAATGATGACTATTTGGGGATGGGAAAATATGTTTTACGCCCGCTCAGGGACCACAGAATTTAGTATATGTTATGTTTAATATTTAGCATCTAAGTATTCAATTACCCAATGTTGACCCATACCCATTTGATGGTGACCACCTTTTTTGTCCTTGAGACATGGCTCATGAAATATCATGCACTCATGCAAACTCCTATGGAGATGAGGTGTCTGCGAAAATTAGGTACCATGACCCACATGTTGGGTCACGTGGCACCTTGCAGTAAAGCTGTAGTGCCTTATGGTGTCAATCATGGCACAAAATGAGTTCTGAGTGTTGTGACCAGTGACATCCGCTTGTACATGCATAACACAGTCATGTCATAACCTATAAGATACATAAATGTACATACATCATACATCACGATACATCATCATATGATGTAACACACATGCTGTAATATGCTGTGATACGCTTAAATTGCAGCAATGCAGAATATGGCAAAATCTACTATACATCACAGTTTTTTTGGATGATTCGTCAATGTACAACAAAAACATATGGCTTTTGGCTGGTCCTTCAGCCCTGGTGAAAACCTGGTACCTTTCTGTTCACCTCAAAAAAGTGGATGTTCATCCAGTTCATCCCCCAAAAAACTTCCATCCTTATATTCTGTATACCGATATATACACCCTCTGGTTATGACTAACAGTTCGCCATGGAAAGATCCACCCATGCTATTAAGAACGGTAAACCATCTATAAAATGGGCCATCGACAAACCATGGCTATGTCAGTCATAACCAGAGGGTATACATATCTATATATCTATATATCTATATATATCTATATATACATATATATATATCTATACATATATATATATATCTATACATATATATATCTATACATATATATATATATATCTATATCTATATATCTATATATCTATACATATATATATATCTATACATATATATATATATATATACATATCTATATATCTATATATCTATATATATATCTATATATACATATATATATATATATCTATACATATATATATATATATCTATACATATATATATCTATACATATATATATATATATCTATATATATATATCTATATATCTATACATATATATATATCTATACATATATATATATCTATACATATATACATATATACATATATATCTATATATATACATATATCTATATATATACATATATATATATATCTATACATATATATATATCTATACATATATATATCTATATATCTATACATATATATATATATATCTATACATATATACATATATACATATATATATATATATCTATATATATATATCTATATATATACATATATATATCTATACATATATATATATCTATACATATATATATGTATAGATATATAGATATATATATATCTATATATCTATACATATATATATATCTATACATATATACATATATACATATATATATATATCTATATATATATATACATATATATATCTATACATATATATATATCTATACATATCTATTTTTTTTTCTCCAAGGCTCATGGTGACATGTCTGTCGCGGCCTAGCAACATTGAATTCAGCGGCTTCTGTGCTATGGTGCATAGTCAGGCCCAATGCACTGGTTGAAATCATCAACGACCATTGTTCTACAACGGTCCCAGAAGCATGGGTCGATCTGGCACCCAGCGTCGATCTCCAATCCAGACGCTGTGGCCGCAATGCACCCCCCAAGCGCTCGGCAAAGCGCCGGCGGGTATTCCTTCAAGGACATCGTATTCCAATGCCCAGAGCTGGACTTCCCAATGGAGGAGGCTGCTGGAAGGTCCGCACAGACTCTACTCCCATGGATCCATTGACCCATGGTGGGAAGATTAAGCGTCAAAAGTGACGTGGGTTTTGCTGACTTCGCACCTAAAAGACCCTGTGCAAAAGTGAGAAGCTGAAAGCCCTCAACCTGCAACAAAAGCCTCACGATTTCTGTACGCCAAATTGAGGCAGAATCCTCTTTCTTGGGTTCTGCCGGATGTTCTAAAGCTCCGCAGCCGCCCGTGCCACTCAGAAGAACAAGTGCATAGAGGGAGAAAAGCATGAGTTCATTTCCCACAATGACCTGCCGAAGCTCCTTGACAGAGAGCGAACCAAGGCCCCACAGCTCCGCCAGCGTCCGCACAACTCTGGGCCCTCGGCGGTCAGCATGCTCCAGTTGCACCTCCCTTGCTTGACTCCAAGTCTCGCAGGGGGGCCCTGCTAGATATGCGACTACATACTTTCTACGGATTCCATCAAACCACATTTGTTGAGTTTCATATCGTGTGACATCGCCCCAGACTGGACTAAGAACGATATCAACAGACACAACATGTAAAACAACACCTGGGTTCTTTTGGGCACATGCCTCCACAAAGACCTGGAAGTCACCGTGTCTGCGACGACCGGAAAAGGCGTGCAAGATCAGCCGATGCTTGCCAAAGGCCCGAGGCGACTCCAGAGAGTTGGTCGGCAAAACCTTGCTACTCACAAATGCTTCTTCAATGTCGGCAAGCGTGGGAGTGGTTTTCCTCTCAGGCAACTTGTCCTCAACAAAGAAATCCCAGTTCTGCTCACATAGAAGTGCACCGCAAAAGGTATGCAAGTCAGAAATGGAGCCAAAACCATATGCTGCAGCGGAGACTTCATCGCATGTAGATTGGGCATGCTGAACGGTCTGCTCAAAGGCCGTCCATGAAAGGCATCGTTCAATGCCTGCTGCTCGAACCAATCTCATCTTGTCCATCACTGGGCATGTCATCAATAAAATTTCCGCAATATCAGCAAGGAAGTCCGTGTCAAACTCAACAATCTCACGTTGAGGGACCGGACAAGGGAGAGGACCAACTCCAGGAAGCGGAGGTAACAGGCCTCCCTCGGCTCTAACTTGGGCGGCATGTTCTTGGGAGCCTATGCCCGGACACGGCTGTGAGAGGGCACCACGGTTTTGGAGAATGCGGCGGCATTGCTCCTGCTGGCGCAGATGTGCTTTTAACCTGCCAACTGAATGATACTCGCGCAAGCACGCCGGGCAAGCAGTCCCATCAAAGAGCCATCGCAGGCCAGAAATGACCCCGTGCTTGCGGAACATGTGCGCTCCCTCACCCGCTTTGGAACGAAACGCCTTGGAACAACCCAAGCATCCAAAGCGCCCAATGGGTCTGGATGACACTTGAAGGCAGTCCAGTGCACCTGGGACTATTTGATGTTGTGTTGCCAATTCATGGAGTATGTGGAGATGGCCTTGTCGAACTTGGAAGTCATTGCGCCTCTGAAGGGCTGCATGAAGACAAGCTCTTTTGATGAGACCCTTCCAGTATCCGCCATGGTATATCCATAGATATCGCCAGCCCGCCAGGTCTTCACTGGGGTTTCCAAGCGACGTGGTTGTTGCGAGCTGGCTCCACATCCAACATAAGTCATCACGAACTAATGCACACCATTCTTCGTCGGAGTGGAGCACATCCCATGACACACTGTCTTGGCATCGGTGAAGCGTGCCCAGATAACGCAGGCGAGCTCGTCTGAGCAATTCCGACGGCATGGGCAGATTCAGCTTGACACAGATTTCCTCATCACACATGGGGTCATCATGAGAAACGCCAAGCACACGTTTGTAAAACTTGATGATTGCAGAGTGCAAAAACTGTTTGTGAGTCCAAGCACGGATCACCCAGGACTCACATCCATAGAGCAATTGGCTTAGCACCAGCGACTCAAAAAGTTGCACTCTACGCTCAAGCTTGATATGGCGGTTGCCAAAAATTGACTTCTTCAGGCGATTCAACGTCTGATGACCAATGGCAACCCTTCGTCTCATCTCAAGGCGCATGTCCCCAGCGTGGTGCAAGAGTCCACCTAAATGCTGATAAGACCCAACTACAACCAGCTTCTGTGTCTTGTGCTCCCCTACGATTGGGACTGTGCCGTCACTGACTGGTCCAAAGAGCTGCGTCTTGAGCTGTCGCACACCTGGGCCCCTAAGAGAGACCAAAAGCTCTGTCTTCCCTGCTTTCAGGTTGGGAGTCATGGCATGAGTCTCAAAAGTCTCTAAAAGGAGAGACGTGGCAACCTGGGCTTTGGACATGACTGCAGTGCATGATGGATCAGAAAAACACAGGCACAGGTCATCCATCCAGATTGGCCCAGTGTAGGCAATGGGTGGGCGTTCTTGTACACAAGCATCACGGTCATGAAATGGGTCAAATGAGCGTTGATCGGCCACAAATTGCAGTAAGCCCTGCTCTCTCATCTTTTCCTGAAACGTTTTCATCACTCTGGCAAATAAAAATGAAAACGCCGCATCAGCAAATGAGTCGCCAGGGCGCGACCCGATGGTCGTTCGACTGCAATTACTTTGACCTGGGAGCTGGAAAAATGTGTCGGTATGCAACGCCTGGATCACATTTTGATAATGCGGCTGCATCCCCGCTTGGGCTATCGCCGGGTCCTCCCTCAAATGCGCATGCAATTGGTGCAGAGTGTCAGTATCCAAATTGAGCCGCTTTGCCAGGGCCGCAATTTCATCATCTGCAAAGCTACAACCAACCGCCAGAGGGCGAAGAACACGATAAAACGCTTCTGTGAGGTCAACCAGCAATAAGGCAACTGAGCGCGACTTCTGTTGATTGCCTCTCAGATACGCTCTTGCCTCATGCAATCCTAAGGTCACAGGAACATGCCTCTTTCCACCATGCTGTTGAGGTTCCATGAAACTTTCCAAAAGCGAGGCTTGTGTCTGCCTCACTGTTCTGTGCAACACTTTTCCAATGTGTGAACTAACGAGCAGGCTACGATATGCAGAGGCGTCCAAATGCGATCCCTTGCCTTTAAAGGCCGGGGCTAAGAGCCCTCCCTTGTGAGAGAGGCTCTCTTGCCCGTGACATACTAGCTTCAGCAGGGCACCATAGAGCTGTCGAGCTAGCTGGGCGGGACATGCGCAACACAGTTCAGAAGGAACACCATCAGGACCGGTTGCCTTGTGCCTCTTGACACGTCGCACTGCCAGTTCCAGGTCAGTCAAGCTTGGGACGTCCTCAGGCTGCAGCTGCAGCTCATGGTTTTGAAAGCTTTGGAGATTGGCAATCCATAAGCGCCTTTGCTCTTCCTCATCAAGGCATGTGGCCCCTTCCATGGTGCCGAAAAAATCAATCCACCTCGTCAAAATTTGATCAGGGTGTTGACAAATCTGTCCATGTTCATCACGTAACATGGGGAGAGCTCTGCGCTTGATGTGTTTCAAGTTGGTCGGCCCCACAATTTGTTTGACAGTGTTGAGAATCGCATTGGCTGGGGCATCATCAGGTAGCGAATGCAAAGCATCTGACAGCGCGTGCTGGCGAGCTTTGCGAAGGCATTTCTTCAATTGCTTCGCCAAACCATGTTGTAATGCCACTCTATGCAATCTCCAGACAATCAGTGTGGTGCCATGGTGAAAGAAACAGTGAGCTTGCTCCTCATTTAGACCTGCACTCCATGCACGAAAACACAGTCTAAGACTTTCACTTCGTTGTCTCTGCCCGATTCTGGTGAGCTGTTTCCTAGCAAGGAGCTTCGCGTTTCTGATTGACCAAATCTCCTGGGTGATGAAGGCTTTCTTTGGAGCTCCCCTTGATTGTGCGCACTTCTTCCGTAGGCAGGACAGATACTGCGCAGTTTGCTGAGCAATGTGTTGCTCAATGTCCGTGTCCCAACTGGGAATGCTGATTGCTCGTAGCTCCTCAGAAATTTGTTCCTTGCATATCTTGCTGCGATCAAACGACCTGCTCTTCTTTGGTCCAGTTTCACTATAGGTTGTTGCAGACCACACCAGTTGAAGGCCTACTGCACTGTGATCATTGTCACCATTGCAAAGATCAAATGAGTCAATGACCTGTGACAAGGTGCAGGCCGAAAGATCATGCACAGGAATACAGACAAAATCGATACAGTGCGTGGAGGCTCCATCCGGCGATCTCCATGTGTCAGTCGAACCAATGTGACAATCAAATGTACACGGGAGACACAGATTCTGCGCAGTCAAGAAGTCTCGCAAAAAAGGGGTGTTCTTGGTAGTGGCAAATGATCTGTCGCCAACTGCAAGGTGATCAGTGCAACCAGGCGATGCATTCGCATCAATCAGCACATATAATTTGTCACTATTGATGTGATTGGCAACCAATTGGCTGAATCGTTGCCACCAATCGGCTCTCGCTGCTGTAGTCTGGCCACTTTGGGGCCCATGGGCAACAACAATCCAAGCTTGCCAAAACTTATGGACTACTCTAGTGATCATGAAGCGTGGTTCAACATGAACAACTGCAACGTCACGGGCAGTCAGACATAAGGCTTTACCATCAATATAGGCAAATGGTTGGGAGAGATTCACCCAGAGTTCTACCCCCCAATGGCCACGATCAGCACCGCCTCCTAGTCTGAGGACTCCGTCATTGAGACCACAAATTTCAGCACACCTAGTTTCTTGCATTCCCAGAAAATTGAACTTGTGTTGGATCATCTGCTCTCTCAAAAACTGCGTCTTATTGCTGAAACCCGAGGGACCAGTGTGCAGCGATTGCACATTCGCAGTGCAGAAGCTGAGCTGGTATTGGATGTGGCAATGGCGCAATGCATCAGGCGGCTGTGGAGGCAGCGTGGCAGACGGAAGCTTTGGAGCACTGATATCAAAATGGTCACCCCTGAACAACGGGACACTATCATCCGATGCAAAAATCATCCAAAGATGCTGCAATGCATCTCGCCATCGACGACAATCAAGTGTTTGACGAGGCAACAAGAACGATTTCTCTCTTTCTCGTTTTGCAAGAACATCGACCAAGTCGTTCCATGGGTCACCACTATGTCCAGCAACGTGAGAGAAGCTCAGTGCTTCCTCACCAATGGCTTCCGTCAAGCTTTGAAAAACCGCTCTGAGCAACCTATATGATTGATCTGTGTGTGCTGCTCCATGCGATCCATCTCCTTGCTTTTCTGCAACAAAAGAATCAGTGCAGAACGTAGTCGGGATCGCTGTGTTATGCGCTAAGCGCCACAATGCGCACCACAGAAGTGCTTCACGCTCGCTCGTCTCTGATCCGATCTTTGAGGAGCCAGTGAAATGGGCTGCTTCTGGGTCAAAAAGAACAGGTTGTGCGGACCACCCCAAAAGGTTGACTCTTGAGGTTCCTTGCTCTCCATATTGTTCAGCCAAAACAAGGAATGCCCATGTGTCACCTTGCCCTTCCTCATCCGCACGTAGGGGTGGACGCCTGCGTTGTGCAGGAATGGAACTGCCGTCACAATAGATGAGTAAGCGGTCAATACGCTCGACAGGCTCACACGCATCAATTGCGTCACGAACATGTTCAGGAAGGTCAATGCCGCCCAGTGACGAGCAGAGCATGCAATCCGCTGAGTGGAAAAAATCTGCAATTTCATCCGCTGTGATACCAATATGCAGCCTACATGCGCTCCTACACTCTGAGGTTTTGGCAGCTACAAAGAAAGGATGATCACCTTGACACGGCAGACGCTTGGGCCAAGGTAGCCTGTCTCTACCAGGGATCTCTGCAAGGATGGGCTCACATTGACGGAAGTACACAATCTGAAAATGCTCATCAGTGGGCAAAAATGGTTGTCTCAACGCTGCTCTGTGAAAACCAGCTCCATAGAGAAAACGCATATGTTGGATCTCATTCCTGGGCTGGTCACTTTGACTGAAGATCGGTGGAGAAGTCCCTGGTGAATCAGCTTGGATATAGATGTAGCAATATGCAAACATAGTCCTCATTGCCTTTGGCCAGCAAACCGCGATGGAGGACTCATCATGAATCCAGCAGTGGCACTGGTGTCCCCAAAGAGACAGCTCTTGCTCCACTGCATCATTCGTGATCGGGGAGGGCACTTCAATGAAGCTCGGCAATGCTAGAAAGTCCACCATGCTGAAAACAGTCACCGCTGCATTTGGAGGTGACTCATCCAAGAGTGCAACCAACTCAATAGGCTTCGAGCGAAGACTTGCTTTCCTTTGCAGGAATTCCATATGGTCATTGTCCCAGATCTCTTGAACTTGCTGTTCCGTCAGATACTGGAGTTGAAGGTGAATGGACATCCCATTGCTCGTGACAAAGAATACTTCATCATCAAGGGCTCTCTCTCCACATCTAACCGTGCAGGTTGTGCGCATTTGCTCACATCGTTCATGATAGCCCATGATGTCAACAACAACCTGTCGTAGAATTTGCCTTGGCATCATGATTGCCCATCTACGTGCTTGCCCATGTTGCACCCATGGATCGTTGACAGTGATGAGCAATGAGTGGAAATCAGGATGTGCACGCTGGAGTAAGATGACATGCGCAACTGCCTCCTCATGTTGATCATGTACCGGCGGTGCAACAAGAAAACAGTGGATGTCAAACGTATTGTCAACATGTTCTCGCCATGGCTGCACAATCAACTGTCTCCACTCCAACGCATCATCATATAGTCGCACTGCACGCGGGGCATCACAGATCTGATAGTTGGCATGGTCATTGAACCATACTTGAATGGTAATGTAGTGCTCCATACCACCAGGACCCAGACGAGCGAACTGCTCCCAGTAAGAAAGTAGTGCTCTTTCTAAATCTGGCAAATCAAAACCATGCTGATGTCCAAGGTGTGGATCAAGGTTCTCTTCGTTTTGCTTTTGACAATCGATGACAATCTTGGAAAAATCAGTTTGATCATGACATTGTAGTGGTGCTGGCTGCAATGTGGTGCGCTGTTGATACAAAACTGTTTCATCCAGAGTCTCCTCATCAATGTCAGATGGTACACCTTGTTCCGAACCAATCCCAGATGAGTTAGCATCTGCCACTGCATATGGGGTTGGAATGGTATGGAGATCCTCATCGATATTCGGCATGACGCTGTAGAAGTTGTCAATGTCTTCCGGTTCAATTCCCATTTGGAACATTCTCGCAACGCAAATGGGCGGTGTGCTGACGATGTCATCCTCCGGCGGAGAAAGGGCAATCCTAAAATGGTCACCATGGCAAATTCTCAAAGTACGCCGTGGGTACTGACGAAATATCTCGCCGTTGTGCCAAATCAAACATTTGTTTTTGACATATCTACAATAGTTCTCAAGATCCATTGCACGTAGCAACATCCCTCGTGAGAGAAACTGTGGCAAGTAGATAGGGCTCCTCACATTGACAACATCCCAACTCGGTGGTCGATCATGAAATTCGGTATCCACAAGGACAAAACAATGTGATGACTCCTGTGGTAGATCATGCACATGCCTCGCCAAGACTGCCTGTAATCGTTGATCACGGATGTCTTGCGGTGGAAAAGGGATGTGATAGACCTCTTGAATCTCGTTGCGCTCAAAACCCAGCAATGTGGCAACCTGGTATCTTTGGAGCGCCTGGTTTGCCCAATTGAGCATGCGTTGTGCTGGCTGTCGTTGAACCGAGAAGACAATCGTTTGTTGCCATGCTGGGTCATGAGAATCCGACTCAGTCGACGTAGGGGATGTTTCATCTTCTTCTTGGAAATCATCTTCTTGTCGAACTGCTTGTCGCATGTCAGCAATCGCTGGTTGGGGTGTAGATGATCTCGTAATTGCACCCAAGGCCATAAACGATGTGGCATCAAATTCAGCCTCTTCAGTTGGAAAAATCTCGACAACCAGACTTGTGAAATCATTGGCACGGCGTGGTTGCTCATGCAGAAGTGGAAGCACTCCCGCATAGACTTGGCATGTTCTGGTTACACACTGCAATTCCGCTGGAACCAATGCAATGATTTGAGTTGGCACAAGCACAATGGGAACCACTTGAGCACTTTGAACAATTGCATCGCACTGCATGCCACGGAAAATGCCTGAAACCACTGCCGTGGGTTCCTCATGCATTGCTGGGTGTAGAATTACATGTGCAGCATGGCCTTGGAACACTAACGCTGGGGGTCCTGGGCTGACAACTCCAAAGCTGATATCCAAGCCTGGATCAATGAGATCCTGCCATGTCTCAATGAAAATATCACGCCAAGTTTGCCATTCTGAATCCAGTCGAACCACACGTGGGCGATCATTACGTCGCAGAACTCGACCATGAAGAAACCAACTATTGACATGGATGACTGGCCCTTCTCCAAGACATTCAGTGCGTCCTTGCCTAGCATGGGTTTCGACAAGGTTCTGCAACCATCCAGTTGGAGTGTCAGTACCAGACTGCGTTGGAGCATTGCCATCTTGCGTTGTCAAGACTGTCAAACTACTCCGTTCAGCTGAGATACTGTGGGAATTCATTGGACAATGCCTCGAGATCGACACGGCCTTTACAGACAGCGGTTCTCCAAGAGGGCATTGCCTTGTCCATTTTAACTGCCAAGGTTTGTCATTCCATCCACCTAGGTGCTCATGTTTCATGACAACCTCGTGATATGCAAGAGAGTCTTCCTCACCAATTGCAACGTGGACATCTTCTGCAAAAGTGGTGCGGAGTACTTTCGAAGTTCTGTTCGAAAGCCTGGTAGAGCTCATGGAAACGGGAACTACTTGGCCATCATTGAAATACCCCATTTCATAGGCCAAGTCCAGAGCTGTGATCGAGGCTTTCCATTCTGAGACAAATCGCAACTTCTTAGTGGCGCTGTGAGACCATTTGAGTGCAAAACCACATGCGTCTCCAGCTACAAAACGCCCAAGATCAATCTCCGTTCGGTCTATTGACCGGGCTTGTGAAAAGGCTGACCAGCTTTCTGATGCAAAGAGGCTGCAGCAGATGGTCCACCATCTTCTTCTCCAGGATCCTCCAATCTTGGACGCTTGGGAGCTTTGGCCTCGATGGCTGCTTCGGCACATTGCTGCAGCGCCTCGAGGTTCTTGAGCATGTCGTTCATGCCTCCCATGAGACTGGCTCCATTGACATCCAGTTGCTCTGGGTTCTCTTCGTCCGAGATCTCTTGAGGGCCTTGATCCGACATGTCGTCGTCGTCTTTGGTCTCTTTGGCATCCTTCTTGGTGGACTCCAAACCTGCCTCTGCAATCTTCACCGATTGAATGGCCTCGTGGAGTTGCTTGGCCAGATCGCTGTCCTGCTTTTCGAATTGTTCGCAGAAGCCCTTCCACTTGGTGACGCTCTCCGCGATATAGTTCTTCCACACCACATGCAGATTTTGCCTGGACGCACGAAGCTTCTGCAATGCCTTCTTTGCTTGCCCCAATTTGGAGACCGCAGAGTGCAGTTGCCTTGTATTGTCCTGTGATTGGACCATGGTCGTCTCTTGAACTAGCAGTTGCAGGTCTGGGGTCAAATTGGCTTCGTTCTTTTTCAAAGCCGCTATGATCTGCTTCAACTTCTGATCTGATTTGGTTTCTTGTGCTGATGACATCGCTGACGATGAAGGACCAGCAGCATAGCCTTTTCCTCCTTTGTGATGCCACGGGGCTTCTGGTAGCGGAGGTGCCTGATGTTCTGTCAACTCTTTCTGCTTTTTGTTCTTCTTGGTCTTGCGAGACTTCTTTGCTCCATGGGGTGTCTGAGAGCGTGAATAGGCACGAGAGGATCGGGACGGCCATCTGCCGGAATGCCAATCCTCTTGCTCCCACGGTGTCTCCTCTTCCCAATGAGAGTAGTAGTCTTCTCCTTTGGCGCCCTGTGGTAGTGGATGACAATAACTGCCATCCAAGGCTTCTGTCCAGTGCCTGCCACACTGACCACAGTAAATCGCCACTGCCTTGTTCAATCTTTTGCAGTACCTGCACTTCCATGGCGTTTGCCTCAAGCGATCCATTTCTGCTGTGATGCGTCGATGGAAGATAGGATCTACAGAATGATGTGATGCCAAGGTCGTCCTCAGCTGTTTCAATTCCAGGAATGACAAAGGTCTCAATCCCTTGCGATGGGAGTGCCAGCTCGCTCTGGCTGCAGCCCTTTGCCTCCTGAGCCTTCTTCTCCAAGAAGACAGAATTGTGACAAGCTAGGTCGAATGCAAGGCAAAAATCACAGATGAATGAGAGAACGATGAAACCCCAATGAATACCAATGAACATGTAGTGGCCGTAGTTCAAGAGGATCACGATGGGGTAAATCACCTAAAGAAACCAAATCACGATGTCAGCACCCGGGTGTTTTTACGAGACCGGGACCTCGAAAGATTGGTGATGCCGCAATTTGCAGCAGAGCACGGTGCTCAAAGTCAGCAGCGCTAGCACCAGGGCACACCAGTTGAGTGAAAGCGCAAGCTGCCAGGCACAGGCCGCAGATGGCCCGCGGGTGACCAAATCACAACCCGCTCAGTTTCGGCAAAGTACGTGGGCCACTTAAGCCGAACCTTTACATATCTATATCTATATATCTATATCTATATATCTATATATATATATATATCTATATATATATATATCTATATATATATATATATACGTGTGTACATCTTCCACAGCAGATTCCATCCCGGTCAACGTCACACGGAAACGCTCCGTCACGGAAACGCACCGAAACGCGGTGGCACAGGATTTCATGATCCAGGGCGGAGACTTCGTCAAAGGTGATGGCACAGGCACCGATGGCTGCTGGGTCCTTAAAAAAGGTACTACTGGTGGTTACCAGGATGCAGGGGTTGGTAAATGTCCCATTTTGGGAATATAAAGGACATCACCTGAAAAAGTAGCCATGGCATTGACCATATACCGATTTTGGTTGGGTGATGTGAAAAATGGGGACATTTAATGACCCATGTTATTACTAGATATTGCGTGCAGAATTAGAATTCTGTAGAGATATGGTTTTTTTCCTACAAAAAAATGATTACTATATGAGTCTTGCACTTCATTCGCTGTGTTGTTTGGCCGACCATTTATTGTTGCGATTGAGCTGGCGCTATCGCTGGACAGAGCCTAGCCCACGAGCTCCAGTTGTATGATTATCGCCCATTCGCCGAAGGTTGACGTAGCTATGCCTAGTTTTTATCCCATTGCATCTTTACCCCATGTCCTTCCAATGATTTTTCCAGCGTTGGCGAAGTGACAACTCGAACTTTGAGTCAATTTGAGATGAACGTTTCGAAAGGATTATTTGTTGAGTCAGATCGCCATGTCTGACATCGAGTCCACCACAGACTGCCCTTCGTGCACAACTCGAACACCGGGCTTGGCCAGGTAGTCTGAGTATCTTTGGTGAGCGATTTCCCGATGAGAACTTCATTCTGAAGTGCCTCGGATTTTTGTCGCCCAGTTATGGCCGAGACACAGTGAATCAGCTAATAAAACAGCTAGTGACCATCACTGAGATTTCCATTAAAATTTTCCGCTCAGCAATCATCCCGTCGTATCCAATCGATTATTGGCTCATCCAGGCATGACAAGCCCGGGCTCCTGTCGATGGCCAACAGTGGAGCCAACTCCAACGGCTGCCAGGTGGATGAAAAAATCACGAAACATAGCGGCGACCCCCAATGGCGATTCGCCAGCCTGGTTGATCCGGGGACGTTTTTGTAATGGTAGAAGCCATGGTAAAAGCTATATGAATGTAATTTGAATGTAACAAGGGCCCTGAAAATGATTTAAATGGCCTGACTTTTCGAAAAACTGAATTGTCATTGATCCAGATCAATCCCATGGTTTATCATACAAACTTTGACCCGTCAAAAGTTCTAAACATCACCCGCAATTGGATATTATTGGTCCATCATGGTCCATCACGGTCCATCTACTATTATAATTTATGGTCATCTTGATCCATTTTTGTAGGAACGCAAAGCCTCTATGTTGTTCCCTTCCGAGGTCAGATGTTCGGTTTTTGATTGTTGCAGTCTAACGTCAACATGGCTACCAAAACCAAAAACATGTTGAAAGTTGGGATGCAATCTGTGAAATTGAATTGTTGAAACAGGGTGCAACAAATTGACGGGCCAGAAGATAGCGGACAAGTCAAATTGGGCCGTCACAAGGCCTTGCTGTGACTGATTTCCATACAGAAAATTGTTTTTTTTTGTGTTTTTTCCTTTTTACATCGGGGGTTGGCACCACCAGACTAGAACACAACAACTAAGTTCAAATCGCTGTGTTGACGCCTGCAGTTCTTTATCACTGCGAACAAGTGCGACTGGCTGGACAACAAACACGTGGTTTTTGGCCAGGTAGGTGGATTGGGGGTCGGTGGGCCGCGATTCGCTTAGTCACTGAGGAGCGAATCAACTCAGATGAGTTGGGTTAAAATTGGAAGAGTTGATACGAATTAGAGTATACCTGGACCTTCAATTGATACTTAAAGATTGCTTACAAGTTCCAGAAAAAGTTCAAGCTCCAAAACAACGCTCGAATCAAGATCTCAGACCATGTGATCCTGTTAAGAGTAATCTTTTCTTGATTTTGCGCTCGTTTGTGGATGTTTGCGCTCATTTTGAATATTTAGGCTCCAATTTGCACCAAAAACGTTCTTAAATTTCTTGTGTTTGATTGTCCAGCCTGCCAATGTCCAACAAATGCTCGGATTCGAGTTTTCCGCTGCATCAAGTACTGTAACACTCCAAGGTCTAGGTATATACACTGCAAGCCCCACAAAATCGATGTTTCCATCAAAAATGAGCAGCATTTTTGTGGTCCCGAAAATGACCTACAGGTACTGGACCCGGCTTCAATGCTGGTGGTGAGGGCCCCCGGGACACTGACTGTGTGGGAGACTGGGTGGCACTGTGACGTCACTGGAACGATGGTAAGGCGGGGGAATCATCCCCAGATTGGTCTTGTTTCAGCTCTTTTCAGGTAAATAGCTCTTTTCAGGTTAGTGAATTGTTATTATTCAGCCCTATGATGCCATATGTATATACGTACTGTGAATCTTCCACATGAGATCAGACCTCATTCTCGTTCATGCTGACACCATGATCTTGCAGCATCATTTGCGGCCACTGCGCGGCCGACCGTGACATGACAGATCGAGGTGGGTGGGACGTGGAATCTTGAGTGGACAAACAAAGTGGCATTCAGGTGGATCCGGGATCCTTGGTTTTGGGTAGACATTCCCTGTTGAATTCTCATTGGTAGCGGAGCTACAGCTGCCGCAGGTAAAGCTCCTAATTTATCTAGATAAGACCGGGATTCTATCTAGGTAGTTGCATACAAGGTGTTCCCAAGGACAGGCAATTCACTAGGAGCAAGGAACACAGAGCCAGCCAGAACTGGGTGTGAAAGAGACGACGTGAGCCATGGAGGAAGATGGCAATGGGCCAGCTCCACGGGGCAGTCAATCCCGTGCTGCAGCACCTGCGGAAGCAGCTGGTGGGAATGTGCTACCAGCTAGCCAACTTCCCTGGCAGCAGATTCCTTCCTTCAATCCCCAGGAGACGGATGTCCAGGTCTACAGCTGGAAGCTCCAGTTTCTGAGGGCCATTTGGCCAGCTGAGCACTTGTCTCAGCTTGCACCAAGAGCTGCCCTCCGAGTGGAGGGAGTAGCATTTCAGAAAGTAGCCAGGCTGGACCCAGCTCTTCTACGAGGGGACGACGGAGTTCAATACCTCGTTGAGTCGCTGGGAGGACAATGGGGCAAGCTTGCAAGTGAAGAAAAACTTGCATACTTTGAGAAAGCCATCTACCAGACGGTGCAACGCAGTGACAAGACAAACGACAGCTACCTAGCAAGACATGATGTTGCTTTTGAGGACATGATGGCCTACAAGGTGACCATGGAAGAAATCAGGGCGTATGTTCTTTTACGCCAATCTCAGCTTGGTGCAGAAGATCGCAAAAGGATCATCATGGAGAACAAAGGTGAGCTGAGCTACAAGCAAGCCCGGCAAGCACTACGACTTCTTGGAGCCAAGTTCTTTCAGGAACTTCAGGGAGTCTAAGCCAACAAGAAGATCTACGACATTCACGTGTCGGAGAATACCACCGAAGAGCCAACGGCACTTCCCGCAGAATGTGTGGGGGCGATGAAGACTCCATTTTCCAGGCCATGTATGATGCAGGAGGTGAAGACGCTGCTTTCATCAATGACTTCGAAGAGACTCTCATCGAAGTGGCCCAAGAATCACCAGAACTAGCAAGTTGCTATGCGACATACTTGGAAGCCCGCACCCGACTCAAGGAAAGAGCTCGAGTGAGAGGCTTTTGGCCAATGGGTCCAGTGGATCGTTCAAGGGCAAGGGCAAGAAGGGGAAAAATGGGGCAAAGGGATTCAAGTCTCGATCTCTGGCGGATCGCATTGCAGCCTCCGCTTGCCGAAAATGCGGCCAATTTGGCCATTGGAAGCGAGAGTGTCCTCTCAACCAAGTCAAAGGGGACATCAAGCCAAAGAATGCGCCGGAGACGACCTCAATTGCCGAGGCACTTCTTGTTCAACCTGAAGAACCTGATGAGCAACTGCCAGTGGTGGAATTCTTGGAGGAGCTCCCAGATTCTGCTGTTGAACTAGGCACGGAGTTTCAAAACCCACTGAACTTGACATTGGAAAACCCCTGAAGTTTTGGGACATGTTGGAAGAGGTATTTCTTGGGGAAGCTCATGATACATGTGAAGGGTCAAGATCGGTGAATTTGGAAAAGTGTTCAGGGACCTTAACAAAGTTCAGGGTCAGGAATCAAAATTTTCAAGGAACACTCCAGTCAGCATTATCAAAGTGTTGTAGGACTAGGAAATATGGACATGCTGTGATGCCGACGTCAGCCGCCACACCCACTCGAGTCACAGAGCCAAAGGCATCTGATGACACCAGCCAGATTTTTTCTGCCGAAATTTTTCACACTGAAGAAAGTGCTGGAGAGGCCGTGATTGATACTGGTGCCAGTAGGACAGTGATCGGTAGCGATAGGGTTCCAGGTCTTTTGAGGGCCATTTCAGGTGCACTGAGGACCCCAGTCAAGAAGATGGCATCAGCTGTCAATTTCCATTTTGGCAACAGTGGCACTCTTCAGAGCCTATACGCACTGTGCATTCCCCGGCACCAAAAGGGCTGGTTGAGAGTGGAAGTTGTGCAGGGTCGCACCCCGTTTTTGATCTCAAATTCAATCATGAAGGAATTTGGTGTGTTGATAGACCCCCGAAATCAGGTTTTGCGATTTTTAGAAGACTCACGAACAATACCCCTCAAAACCTGCCGAAAGAATCTGCTTTGCGTCGAAATCACAGACTTGCTGGAAATCACAACTGAACGTGTGGGACACAAACATGTGGAAGAAGTTTACCAGCAAGAGGAAAATGAAAGCCTAGTCATGGGAAACACAAACACACACAAGTCATGTGCCAATATCCCACCTCGAGTTTGCATGACCACTCATTCCGAAGTCAGTGTACAGAACCCATCTTGTATAGTGTCAGCCACCGCCAAGAGCACTGAAGACATCAGGGCTCAGACTGAGTTGCCATCCACGACGCTCACACCAGATCGTTGTGAACAAAGCCATGGGCAGTCCAGTGGAGATGAAGCACTCCTACCTGACGATGGAACTATCGGGGGACGAGGATCCAGATCTCCAGTCCAACAAGATGTACCTGGACGCACCCAGCCTCCAGTACAAGACGCCTCCAGGAGTCAAGAATCTCCAGCAGTGGGGGGAGACTGTGATCCCATCAGGCAAACAACGGGGTCGAACGTTCCAGGATGTTGTCGAGAACGACCCATGCTATGTCTTTCAGATTCGTCATCGAAAGGCAGTGTCCCCATGGTTGAGGAGTCTGCAGAACTATCTGATTGCCCGCGAGAAGTACCAGCTTCGACATCAGGTTCCAATCCCACCCAAAGTGCAAGGGGATGTGAACCGACCAAAACCGACACCACTGCCGAAAGCTTCGGCAACCAAGGAGAAGTCCAACAAGGAATGGGAGGTGATCACTCAGATGACATCAACGTCATCCACTCCGGCCAAGCCAGCCACGAACAAGAGAGCACCAGAGGCCATGGAGTACCAGGACAAGATCAACATGCCAGTGGAACCAGATGCCGAACGAGTGCAACAGATCCGAACTCAGATTGCGCTGCTTCAGCGAGAACTGGCCAGGGAGACCCTGGTGCCCGACGAAGAAGCTTGAAACATGGACAAGAACTTCTGAGCGAGGCAAAGGTATGTGGGCTGAAAGCCCAAGTCGAACAATTTATTGGGGTCATTGAAAAGGATCTCAACTTGACAACATGAAACAATTGAAATCGTCTTTGAGACGCCAAAAGCCCACAAACCAGAGTCGGCCTGTTGTTCTTTTGGAAGTATACTGTGAAGAAAACTCCCAGTTGACCCAACAAATGCAAAGAATGGGAGGTAGTGCACTTCGGTTTACACGTTCTCATGGTGATTTGTCCACCCCCGAAGGAATCAACAAACTCTGGTCATGGGTGAAGCTATATGAACCTGAACATATATGGGTTGCACCGGAGTGTAAGTATTGAGGATCATTTTCCAGGTTCAATATGGGACGGAGTGAGAAAACACATGACATGATCATGCAGG